AGTCCGGATGACATGGCGTCCCAGTTTTCCAAAAAGAACTTCAAATTTTGATTCGTCTGACCACAGAACAGTTTTCCACTTTGCTAGAGTCCACTTTAAATGAGCCTTGGCCCAGAGAAAACGCCTGCGCTTCTGGTTCCCGTTTAGATATGGCTTCTTTTTTGACCTATAGAGCTTTAGCCGGCAACGGTGAATGGCACGATGGATTGTGTTCACTGACAATGTTTTCTGGAAGTATTCTTGAGCCCATGTTGCGATTTCCATTACAGTAGCATTCCTGTGTGTGATGCAGTGCCGTCTAAGGGCCCGAAGATCACGGGCATTCAGTATGGTTTTCCGGCCTTGACCCTTATGCACAGAGATTGTTCCAGATTCTCTGAATCTTTGGATGATATTATGCACTGTAGATGATGATAACTTCAAACTCTTTGCAATTTTTCTCTGAGAAACTCCTTCCTTTCTTGACTTCTGAGAGACACTGCCACTCTGAGAGGCTCTTTTTATACCCATTCATGTTGCCAATTGACCTAATAAGTTGCAAATTGGTCCTCCAGCTGTTCCTTATATGTACATTTAACTTTTCTGGCCTCTTATTGCTACCTGTCCCAACTTTTTTGGAATTTGTAGCTCTCATGAAATCCAAAAGGAGCCAATATTTGGCATGGCAATTCAAAATGTCTCACTTTCAACATTTGATATGTCATCTATGTTGTATTCTAAATATAATATTGAAATTTGAAACTTCCACATCATTGCATTCTGTTTTTATTCACAATTTGTACAGTGTCCCAACTTTTATGAAATTGGGTTTGTGTATATATATATATATATATATATTATTTTTTTTTCTATTATGTTCAATGGGGGGACATTTTGTAATAATTATTGCATTAATACTAATTATAATTTTTTTTTTTTAAATTTTCTGAAAACACCAAAAAAGAAAAGAAAAAAATATTATAAAAAACGAGTAAAAAAAATCATGATTTTTTATTATTATTTTTTTTAAATATGAATCCCGCCCTTTGGGTCCATTTGGACCCGAACACCCCGAGTGCGAATCTGAAAAGAACAACCCCAGAGGGTTAAATGTTGTTGCAATGAATAAATGCATTTCTCTGTGCTTTTTTTTGCTCATCTTCTCTAACTTATATAGGCTAGTATCGACAGTACTGTATATGGTAAATGACGTAGTGTTCGACAAACTGTCTCACTTCTGTTTTTTATTTCGAGACGATTTTATATATTAGCAGCTGATATATTAGCTACCCGTCTTGTGCAGAAAATAAAGCAGTCTAAAAATGATAAAGCATAATGCGAGGTGTGTGTTTGAGACATCTGTGATGGGTCGCATCAAGCATAAAAATGTGCATTGAGTGGTAGATGCTGTCCATGGCTGTTAAAACAGAAAACACTTACAGAAAACATGACCAATGCATTTACCTACTGAATAATCCCTATATGTTTCTGAAGCATGTGTGTAATTTATGTTTTTTGACTTTGACATGCAAACTGATTTAAAATGAATACTAAAAACAGTAGGTATGTAGTAACATCATTTGAATTTTGAAGTCATGTGCTTATTTTTAAAGTAGTCCTGCTCTTCCTAGTCAGTCCTTAAAGTGCTGTCATTTAGTGGAAATGGACATTGATTTTTATTCCCTCCACTTTAATGTGTATGCTTTTAGAAAGTGGATTTTGGATCCATAATCATGTTGCATAACCAGATTATGATTTTAGACAATTTGACAGTATGAGCTTAGCACCATGGGTAAGTAACAGGGATATAACGCTGCATTGTAAGCAAGAAGTGTCCTCCGTTTACCCAGACCCCAGTTTGACAGGTGAGAGAGAAAAAAACGTTTTCCACTCTGCGAGGGCAGGTTTCTCCTTCAACACCACACAAGGAATGGAAAGATCTAGGAGACGACATGCTTGTTTATCGAAGAGGAGATTTTATCCCTCGCTGTTTAAAATTCTGGCTGTCAGGCAGTCATTGTAACTGTATCGAACCGCTGTTGACACACATGACAGCTTTATCTGTGTGTTGACAGGTTTCCTTACTCCACTGGGAATAGGATAGAGTGGAACGTAAAGATGTGGCAGTGGTTTTGGAAGGTGACTGCTGTGCTTGTTAGCTCTTAAACTTCTAAAGTAGCAGTTTATTATCATACCTGAGGTTTGCTGTCTTTTGTAAGCTGTCATTTTATCTGCGAATAATAGTTAACAAGACCTGCAATTTGTGCCGATTCGGTCGGCCCACGCTTATATTTTGTCATTTTGATCTGGTGTTATGGATGAGGTAGCCTGCTGTCACAGAAGGCAGGCAGGGGGCTGTTTAATGATGAAGTGGCTAGTGTTTGTGCACAGTAACATGAAGTGTCCACTGTTTGTTGCTCAGCCTGCATCTGTGTTTGTGTGTGGCAGCTGTCAGAGTAATTGGACAACAACGTATTGAGTGTGTCCCAGGAGCAGGAAGCAGCACTTTCACACAGTGCCATCATGGTCCTATAAAGCCTTTTTCACTGACACACTCTCTCAAACACATACACGTACGAGGAAGTCTGAGGGAATGCCACTGTCCTTGTTTTTAAAGAAATAACGTGTCAAGGAAGCACAGGTTTGTCATTGAAAGGGGAAGTTTGGGCCAATAGGCTATAGTTTAAGGGATAGTACACCCAAAAATTTTAATTAGCCCATGATTTACTCGCCCTCAAGCCATCTTAGGTGTAAATGACATTCATCTTTCAGAAGTACACAATCAGAGTTATATTAAAAATGTTACAAATATATTAATTTAATATATAAAAAATATTCATCCATGATATAAGTGCTCCACACGAACCTAGGGGGTTAATAAAGGCCTTCTGAAGTGAAGCGATGCATTCGTCACAGAGATTCCGGAAAATGCACAGATAATGTGACCCGGCATTTGTCCCGGGATTGTTTGATTTTAGTTCATTCACACTGCCAGTGATTTGCTGGGATCTGTGAGTGCGTTCACACACAACCCGTAAAGATCCCGGAAAGACACATTACGTGAGGATGAGACGTGTAAGCACGTGTCGAAAACATGTACGGGTGCATACCGTTCCACAAAGCTGGTGAACGATCTCAGCTTCAGCGCGGATAGGGAGGAGCTCCTGATCTCTGCTTCGTTCCAGTTTGCAGACATTTGTTCGTAGTTTCTTTGTTGGTGACGAACACAAAATTTCTTCTAAGAGCAACAGAGTCGCGCGATGGCACAAGCGTCATCACTATGACACACCCCTTACGGCATTGGTCCTGGCTTTTGTTCACACAGCGCGCGTTCCGGGACTGATTCCGGCAATGTCACTAGGTCCCCAACCCGGCATCGATGCCGGTATCAATCCCGGGTCGTGTTTGCGTTCACACAGAAGGCATTCTGGAAATTTCCCGGGATCAACGCGCTGTGTGAAAGGGGCTTAAGAAAAATATCCACATTTAAAACTATATCGACTAAAATAGCTTCTGGTCGAAGGCCGTGCAAATCGTTTTATGATGTAAGAGTGACCCTTGACCTGACGCACAATGTAATGATGAAAGTGGGAGAACAGAGGATTGAGCAAAACTAAACACCATTCATATATTATAGAAGTCTTAAACTTACATTTTTAAAGAGAAATGTGGGAGGAGCTTGGGTTCGTTGCCCAGCCCTGTTTGTCTGAACCGCGAGAGGCGTCAAAGCTTACACTACTCACACATCCTACGTCATACATCGCGTCAAGTTACTCTTTTGACGTAAGTCGACTTGCGTAGGCCATCTTCCGGAAGCTTGTTATTTTAGTCGATAAAGTTTTAAATATGGATATTTTTCTTACACGAAGGCATCGGTTCGCTCCAGAAGACCTTTATTAACCCCTGGAGCCATGTGGAGCACTTTTATCATGGATAGATGCAATGTGATGGACTTCAAAACAGGAACCAGTCATTCACTGCCATTATAAAGACATTTATATATATAGCCTACACATAGTATGGCTTGAGGGTGAGTAAATCATGGGGGAATTTTCATTTTTGGGTGAACTATCCCTTTAAGTAATTAACCCCGATTTGCTACTTGATAATCAGTGCCAGGTGGTGTTGAAGAGAGGTGCATACTTATTCAAGAGAGCATTTTGATTGGTAAAAAATGTTTAATGCAAGATATTAAATAAAATATGCATGCTTATTTTTTTTATTTTTATAAAAACGCTTGTTTCTCTTCCCGTGCATTAAGCAGGCATATTTGAGCTTCCATTTAACACATTTGATGTGCTCTATGTATGTACGTTCATTAATGTTTTGTATGTAAATAAAAAACAAAATTAAAAACTGTTCTTCACATAGATAAGGTGTTTCTTCAGAAGATTTAACTACATTTATGGATTATTTTGAACATTTGTACTATATCTTTATACTTCTTGAATATTGATAATATTGATCATGTTGACTTTCATGTTGAGAATATTAAAAATATCTACAAAAGTCGTTGGAACATCGTGATTTTTTGATAATGCTTTAAAACTATATTTCCTGTTCTTTTGTTTTCTCTTTCTTTTTCTTAGTTATGTTGCTAGGTATTATCAATTATTATATTTGTTTTGATTTGTGGGATTTGTTTAATTAATTCCTTAGTTTCCGAATTTCTAGTATTCTGAAGTGATTATTCACTTATTTTCTTTCAATATTTCTCTTTTTTTTCTTTCCTTTTTCTATCTGCTTAATAATTTACTGTATTTAAGATAGTTAGGTGAAAAGGGGAGGCTTTTGTGCAAGAGAGAGAGAGACTCAAGCTTTACCTCCAGGCTAGCAGGGCTCTTGATCTGTCCCGTCACTCCTGCAGTCGCTGCTCAGTGTCTGGGGATAGCCTGTACAGAGCAGAGCTGCACGCTAGTTCCCAAAATCTGCCTGGCTGGTCATGAATCCAGGACACTCTCCTTTAGTCTATTCAAATTAATTTGGCTGAATTCTAATTTCCTCTTTTATTTATATTTCAGAGGGACTCCATGAAAGATGTCAGAGGAGGCGATTGTTATTGCCAAGTGGGACTATACGGCACAACAAGACCAGGAACTTGACATTAGGAAAAATGAGCGCTTGTGGCTTCTCGATGACTCAAAAACGTGGTGGCGAGTGCGAAATGCATCCAACAGAACTGGCTTTGTTCCTTCCAATTACGTTGAACGCAAGAACAGTCTGAAGAAAGGTTCTCTGGTGAAAAATCTCAAAGATACACTTGGTAAGAGACTTGTTTATTTAGACTTATTTATTTATTTGTAATATCCTGACTCAATGGCAAATAAGAGTGTCTGATTTAAAGCACATGCTTAGAAATAGTGTGTATTAATAGGGCTGTGAAATATAATCATTTTTACAAAATAAATTAAATAGGCCTATAATACTAATCTTCTGTGTTATTGGAAATAAAGTAGTCTGCTTTAATTATATATTAATGAAGAAGTTGTGCGTGTCTTTAGGAAGCAAAGCACTTGCGTCTGTTTTTTTTTTTTTTTTTAAAGAACATGCATGAATGTAAAAAATAAAGTGTTGGAGGTTCCCTCTTAGGCAAGTGAAGATGCACACCGCTAGTATTCTTGTAATAAGTAATTATTAATGCCTTTATTTTATTACATTGATCAAAAGTGACAGTGACATTTAAAAATGTTACAAAAAAATCTAATTCAAACAAAACTCTGTTCTTATGAACTTTCTATTCCTCAAAGAATTCTGAAAGTATCACTGTTCGGACTATTTTCAACATTAATAATAATAAGAAATGTTATCTGAGCAAAAAATCATCATATTAGAATGATTTATGAAGGATCATGTGGCACTGAAAACTGGAGTAATGATGCTGAAAATTCAGCTTTGCCATCACATGAATAAATTACATTTTACATTTTAAAAATGTATTAAAATAGAAAACATTCATTTTAAATCGTAATATTTCTCAAAATTAGCTTTGAATGGTTGTATATTTTTCCGGGTAACAACTATTTTTTACAAGTATCATGAATTATTAATATTATTATCATCATAAATAAAACATAACCTTTTTATTTGATATTTTATTTAAATTATTAGATTTTTTCATGAGGTTCTGCAGGGGTCCTCTCTATGATATAATTTCCTTTGTTTTTGCATTTTGGTTTGTTTTCAAATATTAATAAACAGTGTTTTATTTTTCTTAGAAATACCACCACTGTTTAATTAATATTTTCTTTTCAATGTTTTTTTTTATGAGACTCTTTTTCTTCATGATGATGGTTCCATCTCACTGATATTTCTGAATTATTGCCAGTTTTCATGTGAGAAATTCAAAACCTTCAGAGATGCAGAAATAAAACCTTCAACATCAAGGGTGTGTAAGCAGGAAGCAGTAATTTAAAGGCTTTTGTTGTAAAACCTAATTAGTTTCCCATCTGTTTATCACACAGGGAAGAGTGAGGTGAACCGATCGATCAGCTGTGTCTTGGCACTTATGTGTGAGTTTAGAGGAGTCAGACTCAATTTTCCTGCCTGTGAAGTGGCCTAATGTGACCCAATTTCCAGCACTGATCATACAGTGTTAACTTTGTTTTGACCTCTGGGTTTAATGGGTCTGATAGTGGCATCAATGTGGTTATGCAGTTATTTGCAGAATCATGTGTTGATATCGGGGAGGTGCCAAGCACTGTCATAGAAACCTCGCCTTTGATGCTTTGTTTCTCACAGTGGTTTCGTTTTTATTGTGTTGTTGTTGTTGTTGTTGTTATTGTGGTGAAGAGTCTAATTGTCACTCAGTGTTGGGCACAGTGTTGTGTTGTGGCTTAGTTATTTCCATTGTGTTGTGGCTTAATTTCATTGTATTGTGAACTTACCGGTATGTTTGCTTTTTAAATTTCTTTGTGTTGTACACTACTGGGCCACCGTAGGATCATGATTTTAACAAAAATATTAAGCAGCAAAAAAAAAAAAAAAAAAAATAAAAAAAAAATGATTGACCATATATTTGAGTAGAAAATAGTTATTTTAAATTGTATCAATATTTAACATTGTTTACTGTATTTTGATTAAATAAATGTGCATAAAGACTTATAGATAATAGAAAATACTTGTTACCAAAGTTTTTACTAATAGCGTTGTGTACATGCATGAAGAATTCAGGCAGGCAGGCAGGCAGATTTAGCAGCCATCAAGATATCTACACATAGAAAGAGATGCTTGTTGAGTGCAAAATCATCACTTTCGGAGACAGACAGAGCAATTAAGGACATCCTCCACTCCATTTTGCTTTCCTGCTGACATCTATTTCTAAGATTTCCACACACACACACAAACTGCACCACCCCTTTCTTGTCAGGGTAAATGGGCCCCAGCTTTCTAGCCCTTTGACCTTAACCGCTCTAGAGCATCCTTTTCTCCCCTCCCTCACGTGCCTTATGAAGTTTGTTACATGCTACTCTTAATTACTGACACATGGATCTCTGCATGGAGTCCAAAACAGGAAATGGGAGGATGGAGGGCAATAACCTTTTGCAGTGAGACTATGCAGGCTGTGTTACTGTTTCTTGTATATTAAAGATCATTATTAAATAGCTGTTCTCTTACGAGAGGTTCTCTCGTACTGCGTAATATCTTACGCGAGGGAAAAACCTGTTTTCCACGAGATATTGAAGCCAAAAATTATCCTTGATTTTGAATTATTGTAAAATGCGTTGCGGCAGCATGCAGACATAGGCAAGGCGGCTCACGTGCCTATTGGCTGTCCCGGGGCAACTGCAGCAGCCTATCGAGAGAGGCCCTTGGTGACGTCAGATTCAATGGGGGCGCTTCATGCCCACTACGTCTCCTCCCGCCAAAGCATGGCCTGATATAGTTTGATTTTTCATCTCTTCAGCGAAGCTCACGCATCGCTGAATCCGGAGTGAAGAAGCCGCCGTCGTCGGAGAAAAGCTTTCTGCGGGACGAGCCTTTACATCTGAAGCCTTCATTCGCCGTACCTGCTATGCTTTCCGGCGTTTATATCCTTTTACTCTGCTGAGTGTGTGTTCGCCGCTGCGACTCGCACTCAGCGATGGCGATCCTTCCTGCCTGGGTAAGGTTCATGCAGCTCTCGGGTTCACTGACGGCAGCTGCCGTCATTGCGAGCTATTGCCATGGTAACTCTGAGGACTCGCCTGGCATTTTTTTTTTTCAGAGTCTGCACTCCTACCCGCTATAGTGCCACGTCGCAAAAAGCGCCGTACTCAGCGGGCTTCACCATCTTCACTCGAGTCGACGACGGACAATGGCCGCCGCTTCCAAGGCGATCTGTAGAGGAGGCCAGCTGCTCTATCCTGGCGTCGGACAGTGAGGATCACATAAACAGTGTAATTTCTGGTATTCTGGCCACAGCCGATGGTGTTATGAGTGTAAAAAAAATGCTCACAACAACAAAACAGCCTGCCATAGTACAGGGCTCACATAAATAAAATCGTCTCATGTCAATTGTGCATTAAATGTAGTGAATGTGCCCACAAACACACTGCATGTCCCACTGTTTTTGTAAAAAGGAAACTAACACATACAGTCAGCTCAGGCCGGCAGTGTTTTCAGTGCAGTAAATGTGCCCACAGTCCTGTGTCCACATTCCCTCACAGACATGTTAAGCACCCCACGGTGCTCACCCCGCTTGCTCTTCTCAGCAAACTGCTATAAGGGAATCGAGCGCCGCGATTGGAGCGCCCCCCGTCTGGTTCTTGGGCTTGGTCTAGCGGGATTACCTTGCAAGATATCTGTATGGTGGTAGGCCTGGCCTCCCCATCTAGATTTATAAGGTTTTATAACCTAGAGGTTTCTGTCTTACAGGCTAAAGTATTTTCCGTCTAAAATCAATATAGTCTGCCCCCTTGCTTCGACTCAGAATACTACAACTGCTTGAGCACCGCTCACTGATCGATAAAATTTCTCCATGTGCAAAAGTAAGACCCATACTGTTACACAGTTTTCCGAGCATTTTCACCCTGACTGTGTGGAACACTGTTAATGTGATTAACTTATTGGGAATGATGCTTCTAGCCTCTCTTTTTAGACTCTTCTCAGACAGAGAGTCCCTGGTGATTATGCTCTATATGAGCCCCGGGCACCTGCCCTTGAGACTTTTGAGTTGGATCCCAGCACGCACTGCGTTTTACACTGCGTTCCTCTACCGCAAGATATTACGTAATACGAGATAACCTCTCGTAAGAGAATGACACGCTCTGGTTTCGCTTCGGCGATGAAAAAACAGATTATATCAGCCCATCGAGCTATATTTATAGGCCCAGGCCATGCCCGCTTTTGGCAGGTTTCATAGTCAAGCCCCCATTGGATGCTCCCATTAAATCTAAAAAACTAATTTAAATAGTTTTTAGAGATTTTCATGTAGCTTACTGTAGCACAGTAGAGTTTGTGTGGTATAGTGGTGAAAGATCTGGGTTGGTTCAAACCCACACGATGTGAACACTGATGTCGCAACCGAAATTTAACCAGATATCAACGTCTTATGACATTGTGTGCCTGCTCTCATTTAACAGACACTTTTATCCAAAGAGACAAGTAGGAGAGCATTTAACAGACACTCGGCACAATTCAGAGCGACGTGATGAGGTCCATTAGGTCTTACTGCGTTAAAGTAGGTTAAATCATAACAAGGAAACTTTACGTATGATTCAAGTCATCACGACACACTGTAACAGTGTGTGTTTGAAAAAAAATGATGTAATCGTCCTCTGCTTTTTTTTTTCTGGAGTGCATTAGACGGCCAAACAGCAAAGCGACTAAACAAACAAGAAAATTTGTGAGATTTGAAGCTTATGGGAGACACGCCCAATAGATGATTTGCGCTGTGATTGGCTGAATGTTAGTTTAGTCAAGTCTAAGTAACAAATGAGAGAGCATGGGCAGAAATAGTGGGGCTGGGCCAAAGAAAAATGCGGGGGAATCACCTGTTTCTAAAAGTGTGGGGGACTTTTACTTGCTACTGAAAGCGATTCAAAAGCTGTGTCATGATGAGCATACAGGCAGCCTCAAAGCTTGGCCTTGGGTGTCATGTTTTAAAAGCACATCCTCTTTCCCAGTCTATTGGCCTATCGATCCTCTGTGGACAGAGTGAGGACAGCTCTCTCTCACAGGCTCTTTGTTCTTTCAATGTGCTTTGATAAATGCGCTCATCCGCTGTCTGTGAGGTGAGACTCTGACTCAGAGACTGTGTTTATGGGCTACATAAATGTGTGTGCC